CATTCACACAAAGTCCATGCCGAGAATGACGTCTCTGGCACAGTCTTGTAGAACGATGAATTTCACAAGGTATGTCTCGCCATGAATTTCAACACAAGCTGTGCATTTTCCGACAGGCGTGATGAGGTGTCCTCCAGCAGTTCGTATTGGAGGTCCATTCCACGGCGTCGTGACTTTTCGAAGGTGGCGAGAGAGCCTCCCACTAAAGACTTAGTCTGCTCTGGTGTCCACGAGTGCCGATGCATTGTAGTCGTCGATAACAATGTTTAAGTTGTTGAGTACCGTTGCCGGAGCGTCTTTACTTCGTCCGTCCACAGCAACTTCACCTCCAGGAGTTGCCGTGTTTAGTTTTCTCGGTGAGACAAGGACGACAGGCTCTGACGACGGTGTCAGTGCATTAGCGAAGCTGGACGTCATGGCGACGGCGACCGGGACCCGCGGCGAGGTGCAGGCGGGGGAGGCTAAGGTCGTCGAAGGCACTCTTCAATCTCCTGCGGTCTCTCACCATAGCATGGACGTGGGTCATTTGGGTTGAAGCCACGCAGACCTATTTGCCGATAAAGGCAACGGCAGTAGGCATGGTTGGCTTCCCCGCAGTGGTAGTACAACGGGCGTCGATCGGCCGTCCTCCACACGTTGGTCTTCCTCGGCAAGGGTCGCTCTGGGTGGATGTACTGGACTTGTCCTTCCTGTCAATAAGGGTACTGCGGCATCGGACGGTCTTGTTGGGGTAATGCCATCCCTGTGACCTGGCGGTTAGTTTGCTGCATTCGTCGGGCCTTGGCAGTGTAGCTCAACGTCGGTTCCTCTGGCCTCACCGTTTTGATGGGGACTTTTGGTTGAAAGGCTCGGTGAACCTCCTCACGGACAACCTCGGCGAGCGGCAGTGAGGCTGGGGGTCCAGCAGTGGGCCGCAGCTTTTTTAGCTCTCAACGTACGACGTCGCGAATCATCTCCCGAATTCCAGTCAGGCTGGAGCCGTGGTCCAACCCTGATGGCAAGGGAAAACTACTCTGGGGTGCTGCTCGTAATTGGTTGCCCTTGCCAGAATGGCACGCTCCATGTTCAGCGCCTTGAACGGTTGTCGGTGAGTTGCATATGAGTCCACCGAAGATGTCGTCCTTCACCCCACGCATCGGAATACACAGCTTCTTTGCGTCGGCCTGAGGATCGGTGCAAGAGCTTAGGCGCAAGACGTTTTCCACGAAGCTCGTGATGCTCTCATTGGGGCCCTGGGTCCTCGATTGCCAAAGTCAAGTCACTATGACTTCTTTGAAATGTTATTTCCGCTGTATGAACTGCAGGGGGCAGAGGCGCTGTCAGGCATCATGCCTTTATCTATGCCCCCTTTGCGGATGATTGAAATCCACAAAACAAATAAAGAGAAGAAAAAAATTGGGGGTTTTTACGTGCCAAATCAACGACGGGCATCTGGCATGCCCCAGCGGAGGACTGAGGATGAATTTGGGCCACCTGGGGATTTATTGACAGGCAACTGAAATCTCGGTTACACGGCGCCTTCTCCGCAATGAGCCTCCGTCAGATTACGGGCACCTTGGCCGGGATTCGAACCCGCCACATGGGGATCCGGAGGCCGGCGCTCTCGCCTCGGAGCCGCCGAGGCGGCTGGTGGGTCCTCGATTGCAGCAGATCTTTGGCCCTCTCTCTTCGGTGTTGACTGGCTAACACACGCGTGAGCTGATTCTTGCAAAGGTTCCTTGAGGTGAGGAAGGCTTCATGGTTTTTGAACCAGTGCCTTGCTGTACCTCAAAAGCAAGAAATAAAGGTTCTGCAGGCACTCCTCATCACTCCAGCCGTTGTGGCGAGCCACACGATTGCACTGTCATGGTCCAGCCGGTGTGGCGAGCCACACGATTGTTAGGTTATGGTTGGGATCTCCCGGCTCTTGGGCTAGAGTTCAAATTCGGGGGACTGGCCTCTGGTACGACGGCATCTTCAGGCTTCAGCGTCTTCGGCGAAGGGTAGCCTTCTGGGGCTGAGCACCTCACTTGGTGGGGTGTCTTTGGACGAGTACGCTTTACGGGCGTAGGATGCAATACCCAACACCTCGACCAAAATGTTACGAATGACAAACAATGAGGTGGTAAATAACTGAAGAAACTAAATGTTAGTGGGGCGTGCTTGTGCCCAAAACAAAAACAGAGAAAGGCGAGCGTCGCAGGCATAGATGTCGGTGAAACAGCAGGATCGAGCACTGGGACGAGACTGACTCCGGCTCACCATGCACCCACGTGGGTTTCTGGAATATTCAGCGTAGAAGTTTCAGCGACTAGAACATTTGGACCTCGAGGAAGCAATAGGGTTGTCGAATTTATGGGAACACTAAACTTAAAGGGCAACTCCGGTCCATACTTTCGATTTTGGGATTATGACTGTTTTTAGTGCAGTCAGCGTCCCTGAATTGCAAGGTGTAATTTTTTTCTCATTATAGTGCGTAGTTTTGAAGATATCGACGCCTGAAAGTTTTGTTTGGGGCGCGGCCAACAAAACCGAAACTAGCCGCTCGAGGCCCCGGCAACACTGGAAATCGGCCGCTATGTGAACGTGACGTCACGATCGTTCTCGTTCAACGAGTACGCAGGCCGAGCGCCACCTACCTCTGTTGCGCTAGCCGTGTAAAGATAGGAGGTAAGCTGATTTTGTTTTAATTCTGTATACGTGGTAGTTACCGACCATATGTAGAAAGAGTAAGAGCCTATAACCAAAAGCTAGCGACTGGAAAACCCGTGAACTCATACGGTGCCGTACTTGGCGGCCACCGCCGTGCGTGCGCTATGCCATACTCGTCGCTTGTATACCCAAAAGCTAGCGACTGGAAAACAAGTGAACTCGTTCGGTGCCGTACTCGGCGGCTGTCGCCGTGAGTGTGGTCTTCCATACTTGTCGCTAGGCCTAAATTTACGCCGCGCTGCCAGTGACGTACAGTACTGGGGACCCTCTCGCCTTTGCGTTGCGCGTCAGTCCCAGACACGAAGGTTTGAGGCTCCGGCGCGGGCCGCGGCGCCCAAACATGTGTGCTGGGTTGAACACGACCGCTTTTCGTTCTTTTTTCCTCGGGTGCTTAAAAGCCGAAGTCGAAAGTCCACTCGTCGAACAGCGTTCACCCACACGTTCTCCAATTTCCGATCCGTCGGACACTAGTGAAAAAGCACCTCCGTATTGCGCAGAGGGTTGTTTGAGCAGCCCACAACGCTACAAGTTGCACTCGGCATCTTTCGAGGAACAGCTGGGCAGTCTTGGGCGCACAGAGTTGCTCGCTAAAACGAGTCTGAAAGTCCTCCCAAGCAAATAAACAAAAGGCTATACCGAAGCTATACGGGCTACAGATAAAAGCAACGACTAAACATGCCAATCACAAGCCGAAGTAGCGGTGGTAGAGGCTCAAAGAAGTGCACTCCGTGCAACGCCCGCACCGGAGGAAAAAAAGTATGATACAGACGTCACGGCCCAATGTTGCTTTAGCGATCGGCAACCCGCTGGCCGCCCGCTAAGGAGCAGCGGCTCGCGGTGGGTTGCATTTTTGTTATCGGCATTAGTTGAGAATGCGGCGTCCTACGGACGTAATATTTTGGCCGGAGTCATATTTTGTGTCACTACAGCGATACCACTAATTTATTTCATTTTGAGTTTTGGCAGGAGTTGCCCTTTAAAGAATAGAGAAGAGATAAAAGACGTGTAACTCCGAGGAATCGAACCTTGGCTTTTGCACGAAAATCGAGCGTACAACCACTCGGCCATGCAAGCACGCACTTGCTCACCGACGCATGTGGCAATATTTCTCAAACTTCTTTTGTGACTACCATTGCCTAGAAGGAAAAACTAAGGGAGGTTTATTTGGTTATTATCGTCAAGGAGTGATTCTAAGTAGTATTTGGCGAAAGCAGAAAAATTCATAATTACTTACAGTGCGACTGGGACAAGGACAGACAGAGGAGAAACACAGAAACACAGGACAAGCGCTGAACTAGCAACTGATTCTATTGAAAAGAAAAGACATGTGATTCTGCTGCTGCTCGTGGAGGCATGCCCCTCCGTGGCCCTGGCGCTTCTTCTTTCACTCAATGCGAAACCGGCCAAGTTATCCGAGATCCAAAAAGAAATAACAATCCTAAGTCTCACAGCGGCTGCAGCATCAAACACGGAATGCAGTTTGTCGCCTGCATAGAAGGCGTGGTCTACAAGATTCCGTTTTCCTGCGGGCGTGCCTACATAGGACATACTGGGCGTTGCCTCAACATAAGACTACGAGAACACCACAGTTCTATGAAAGGAACCGCTCACACGCATCTCGCGATGCATTGCCGGGATTGCGGATGCCAGCCCCTGTTCAACAAGACTACAGTGATGTTCCGACACAACCACAAACTACACCGAGAAATGATGGAGACGTACCACATAACAAAAACCGAATCCTTGTGTGTGAGCCAGTTCACAGTGACTTTGATGAAGAGCGAGATCGGCTTTTTGGGTCTCGGATAACTTGGCCGGTTTCGCATTGAGTGAAAGAAGAAGCGCCAGGGCCACGGAGGGGCATGCCTGCACGAGCAGCAGCAGAATCACATGTCTTTTCTTTTCAAAAGAATCAGTTGCTAGTTCAGCGCTTGTCCTGTGTTTCTGTGTTTCTCCTCTGTCTGTCCTTGTCCCAGTCGCGCCGTAAGTAATTATGAACTCTTACCAACTCGCCCAATTGTCCATTTTGCTAGCAGAAAAATTGTTTTAACGTGCATCACGCGGTAGTGACACATGACTGCACGCCGGTGTGATGCTCGTCCAGATCGAAACAAATATGGGTGGGGTTTGAACCTAGTATTTCTGGCTCTGTAGCACGAGCTTTCGCTCCGCATGCTCCGAGCTACAGTGTGTGAACGCACTCGGCTGCCGATCCCCCAACCACATGTCGAATTTTGCTCTCTTACTCTACGTATAATGACGTACACGGGTGCAACAAAGGCTCACACACAGTTTTCTTTTTCCTCCAGATGTGGGGGTGAGCTCCATGCTCTTCCTGAACCTCATCAGCGGCATGATCACAACGGTGGTGTTCACTATCATGATGAGGCGGTCTCAGCAGGTGGCCAAGGGCTACAAGACCACTCACTTCTCATTCCTCTGCACCGTTGAGGTGCTCGGGAAGCTCGCCTTTTCCATTCTGGTGGGCCCTTGCATTGACCTGATCGGGAAACCCGCCACCTACTTTCTGATGACGACATTTACGGCCTTCAGTGTTGCCACGGTGAAGTATGTGGAGTGATGCGGTGTGACCATGGTCTGTTGTGCGTGCACTGTGCTACAGGATGGGCACAAACACAATGCCGGCACTTTTCACATTTTCCCGGGGAAAACTAATAGCATGGTCTTTAGATTACCTGCTCAGGGGTCCAGTTTCGGTCAAGGTAAGTGCGAGAGCGTTTTCGGCTACTGATTGTGTGGTCCCACACGTTGTGCATAATCAACCAGTAAGACATTTTACACCCATTTGCAAGGTCAGAATCGGGCAACATTTTGGTGGGAACATCTCACCAGCATACAAATGACGAGGAAGGTCTCGCAGCCTCCGATCTGCTTGTCCTTAGTGCTTCTTCATCCACCGATTGACATCAGTTTGTATACGGTGGCGGAACGAATTGAGATTTGCAAACATAGGGCGTGGGTTGTCATTGGCTTTCAACGTGAAATAGCAGAAAAGTACAATTTCAGCCTGTGTCCGATCTCACTTCGCTGCAGGGCTTTATTTGTGGCAGATGAGAAACTTTTTTTTCTGGTCTGTTAGCAGACAACACACGACATTTCCTTGTTTTATTTCCGTCTGCAAATGATGCTTTTAGACAAACGACTTTCTTACGCTCACATTAGCAGACAAACCTACGAGCGCTGTCTTCGCTCATTCCGCAAGAGGTAAATTAGATCCTGCTCTTATTCTTGCAGCCACCAAAAGTGGACCCCTGGAATAATTCTCGCCATTCTGTAGGAAAAATTTCCCTAGGGACAAATTGAAGCACCAGAGGTGCTTCAATTTGTCCCTAGCACTTAAAGCACAAGCACCTAAAGCATTGCAACCCATCTGCAAGTTTATTTATAGGTCATGTTTGCCCCATGCCTGAAATAAACGTAGCTTAGCTTTGAAAATTATTACAAGGAATGTATAATATCGCGCATGATACCTACTCGCGGAGCAAGAAAGCAATGGAGTCTCAGTGGACGATGCTACGACGCATCTCAATGTCGATAGCAATGCCGCCACTGCATCCTGAACGGTTGCTCTCTCTCACCCACCAGCTCTGGCAAATTCCCTTTCTAGCTACCTTAAAGGAGCTGTGCAACGATTTTAACGTTGAAAGAATTGGCATCTTCTGCTTTTGATGTTGTTCACCTTGTCACAAATGAAAAAAAAAACACGCCTCCTTTCATCGAAATGTTGCGATTCTGCTGCGTAATAGCGAGGCAAAACTTAGAATATTCCCCGACCTGCACCCGCAAGCGGCGGCCATGAGAAACACACGGCGTGACGTCAATGGGGAATCTTGCAGAAAGATAGCAAGTTGTGCGAATACCTGCTCGATAAAGGTAACTTTCCTATAAATCTTGTCGTTCCAACATGTATATAAATATGTCGAAAACCTGGTATCATCAACAAAACTTTTATTATACGGAGTTTTAGTGGCGCCATCTATCCTAGGTCCACAAAACCGTCAGCTCTATCTGCGACCGCGAACAGCCGCCAGAAGCCAGAGGGGGAGGGGGACAGGGCCGGGCGGGTATTGCCGGATTGGGATGAGACTTTCCTCCTTTCACCATATTGTTTGCGCAGTGCCCGCCAGCATGTGGTCACGCAGTCGCGAGCAGATGAGTTCTCGCTGCTCACTGATGGCTCTAAAGAGAGATTTTTTCCGGAACCCCGTGCTTACCCCATCAACGTCACTGCGCACGTGACCCGAAAGACGACGTACGAGTTGAGAGGCGGAAAAAACCTACAGTAAAACCTCGTTATAACAAAATGGGATATAACAAACAAATGGATATAACAAAGCAATCATAATTCCCCTTGCTTGAATAGTTGGAAGAAATGGACATTGGCTATAACAAACTAATGGTTATAACAAAGTAATTACGACCGCTCCTTCAACCTCTTTATAACGAGGTTTTACTGTATATCTTTTTCATTTTTTTAAAATAAAAACTAGGGTATTCAGGCAAAATCTGTTTTCTGTAGTTCACTTCAGAAGTGTCCGGCATCAACTTCCACAATAATTTAAGCAAAGCCCTGAAATTGTTGCACAGCTCCTTTAACCTAGGGGTCATATTACTTCGGAATGATTGAAACACCATGTGAAGGGCGCTACGCCTTATAAGAATTGTGAATCTTTTCCAAGATTTTTTTTCCCCTTGAGCTCCAAATGATTTTCACTTTTTTCTTTACTCTTTGGGGCAGTGCCACTTGTGGTAACAAAATTTACTACGGCAGAAACCAGCATTGGGCAAAGCACATCTAAAAAGTTCCTGAAGTAAAGTACAAAGTAAATGAGAGATTACCTATGTACTTCAAGTAAAGTAGTAAGTACACGGGGCACAATGCACTTGGAAGTAAAGTACTATAAATACTGTAGGAGAAGCGCTAGGTAGATTCACTCACCCTCAAACTCACACTCACACTCACACCAGAAAAACAGTCATTCACGTGAATGACAGTTTTTCTGGTGCGAGTGTGAGTGCGAGTGTGAGTTTGAGGGTGAGTGAATCTACTTAGCGCTTCTCCTACAATATGAATACCCAACTCGCCCAAGCATCCTTCCTAAGATACTATAAATACAATGTATTTTCAAAGTACAAGTACTTTTTAACACAGTTTTTCACGGTGTCCTTGCATTAATGGTGGCAAATATTGGATAAAGTAAGGTGGCCACAGCGTAGTTTACTCTGGCTGGCAAGCTGTTTTGGCACAATCGACATTTAAGGTGCTTATTTGTATCAATCTTATGGGCACCATTACTTCACTCGAAGAAATGACCACATAAACAGTGTGTTGTCTGCTCACGTTTCTAGTAACAGTAGAATTTCTTTTTCAGTATCGCTCCAGATTGACAAAGCATCATTTTGAAATACAAATTTAACAAGATCAAATTCGGTGAATGTATTTCGAAGTCGGGAGTTGTTCTTTCCTTTGAAAGTACCAGAAAAAATATTTTAAGCAAATCACAAGTAAATGCTCGGAGAATGCACTTAAGTGAAGAAAAAAATTTTTGAACCTACTTAAGGTACTTCCCAACACTGGCAGAATCTGCCGAAATAATCAGACCACTAGGCAGGGTTTAGGGAATGTAACGGGTTTAGTGACAGGGAAATGGTGATGTTCTTTGTTTTATAGCGAAGCTGTTTATGGCTAGGGTTCTGTGGATTTTTCGTGTGCGTGACCAAAAAGTACACTCGCACCGCTGCACGCGCACGCCTTCTCCGTATGAAAGGTTCAAAGTAAATAACCATAATAAAGCGTTGACAAACACACATGCTGCAGACGCCAGCACGTGGAACACCATTCCCTGCATTCTCCTTGATGCTTGGGTAATTTAGCAATAGGTCTATTCAGTAGATTAGTTATCAATAGGCACCATTTTCAAGATCAGTAGACTCTTAGGTAGATAATGAAGGTTTCTCAAAGATTTGCCTCTTTGCAACCTGCGTCGGCCATGTCTACGCTCGCACCGCCCTCTTTGTCCTCGTTCCAAGCGCTTGCGTGCCTAGTTTCCTTTCCTTCTGCTCTCCCGGGGTGGCGGTCCCGTCGCGCGTGTCTACTTTCCGCCGAGTGGCGGATGGATGGTAATGGCTATTCCCTTTGTAACGGGTGGTAGCTTGCGCCACCTAGCCCAAGTCTAAAAAGACAAATACATGATTCCTCCCGCCCTTTTAAGACCAATTTTTCTCCCCCTAACTATCACCAGGCAGTGTGGGATATCACCAGGATGACCTTCGGGGGATCGGGCAAAAAAACTAAAAAACATCACCCGCCGCCTCTTCCCCCCGGCGCGCCAATTTTCCTCTGGTCAAACCTTTTCGGCGTTACCCTAGCACCGGATCCACTGGGAGACAGGGTTGAGACTTTGGGCCGGAGCCACGCGGGAGGGAGTCCCGATTTTCCTCTGTCCCGCCTGTTCCCAGCTGTGCTAGTTAGTTGTCCATCATTTAATTTTCCCTAGATAATTTCCACCAATCTTCTAATCGTCTCTTTGTCACTGTAATCTTTTTCTCTACCGTGCTTCCATTGTCGCCAGTGAAACCCAGGGCCCCGGCCAAATCCGCTACCCCTTCACGGAGGGCAGGACGAAGCTTCATGCACTTCAAAACCAAGTGCTCCAGTGTCTCGCTATCATTATGGCAGGCGGCACATAATGTGTCGGTCTCCTGAAATTTAGCCCTATACGTCCTCGTCCTTAAAACTCCCGTTCTTGCCTCGAACAGCAAAGCACTTCCCAGTGAATTGTCAAATAGCTTTTCCTTTCTTATCTCCTGCTTTCGTGACCTGTACACTGCTAAAGCTGATTTCTCCTGCATTCTCCTTTCCCACATTTTCCTCTCCGCCTCTTTCACCTTTTTTTTCACTGACATAGTCTGTTCAGCCCCACCACCAGTGTCTAGATATTTAAATGTAAGCTTTCGGGTTCGGTTTGTCCATTTTGTGTTTAAACTTTTCATGTATAAATACTTGAATACGGTCTCGTTGCGCTTGTCTAGTCTCCTCCGGCTCCTGGGGGGTGGGTCTGTGTCGTGTGCTAAACATCTTCGCTGATCATCCACATTTACAGAGTATGTAGAATGGCCCATGATTTTTCTTTTTAATTCTTGACCAATGTTAATAGCATATGCCGAAAGTTGAAAATAGGTATGTTCATTACGTTGCTATGTCGTTGTGGATGATCACCGCCGTAGGAACGAGAAACTCGTTTATAGAGCCTAGTAAATCGGCAGTCGAATAAAACTTAAGTGCCCTGTACTTCGCGAAATCTGGTGTAATGAGAAAGCTTCGAGACAACTGGATCAATATGATGTTGCAAATGTGCCATTTAACTTTGCTGTTTGTGTACTTTATGTTCCCCTTGAGTTTCATTGTACTCTGTTCTGAAGATGAAGTTATGGCTGAAGCCCCATAGTGGCTGTATTTAATACGCTGTAATCTGCAGGTTTTAGTACTTATTTGTGAAAAGGTACATGAAAGGACTATGAGCCTGTCGCTCTAGCTTCATTATTATCACCTTCGTTGATGTCTTGGGGACGAATCTTTGTAGTCCTGGAGGGATTATTAAATGAGATAAGGCTGAAATTTAGCAGTTACGGTCGACTTTCATTAATTCAATTTCTCTTAATTCAAACTTGCGGATAATTCAAACTAACATGCAGGTTCCATCCATCCTATGTGTTTTGAGCGGGGGATACTCCCATTAATTAAATCTTTGCTTAATTCAAAAAAATTTTCAGTCCCCCTCGAGTTTGAATTAATGAGATTCGACTGTAGTAGTGAAAATTGCTTACTTTCATGAATGTAATTTACCCACTCTTTTGAGAGAAGTGATATTGATTCTCTCATTGAATCATGTCAATCCGCATGACATGATACAAGTGTCATGCAGATTGAAATGTATAGTCTTCCACATTATGAGGGACCTCTTTGTGGGGCTGTTTATGCTGCGGTGCTAAACACACTTTGGTCAGATGTACTTAAATTTTAGGAAGAGAATAAAAAAAAGGTTTTTGTAGCTCTTCACCCCAAGCAATCTGGGCTTGGCCAAAGCGATTCCAGCATAGCTGCTCGGAACTGCCTTGTCAAGTTGGTCTTACGTTTTATTGGAGAATGCACCTTTCACTGAACTCACTCTATTGGTGCATATTGGGTGTTCGATTATTTAAATAAGCTTCAAACCTTCCTCATTCACCTGTTTGCAGCCCCTCTCCCCATGCCATGCGGTACCTTGTGTCTTCAGAAAATGTGTACAGGCCTACTGTGTTGGTCTTGGCCCGGTTTGAACTTTAGTGTTTTTCAGCGATAACTGTTATGGGATCTTTCCACCACTGGAAATGGCATCTGTTGTTGATGTTGTAGTTGACAATGTAGAACATCCGTCGTCGATGTTGCAAAATACTTAAAAAAGATTGCCCGCCGTTGCCCGCAGGAATCGAACCTGACTCCGCTGCGTGCATAGCGGAGACGTTGCCTCTGAGCTATGCTACAGCTTTTTTTCTTTATTGCTATATTCTGACAGTGGACAAAGAACCACAATGTGCAATACATTTCGCTTATGCATGTAAAACAAAATATTGAGCGAAGACAACGTTACTTAACAACTTTGAGTAACACCTCTTGGCGGGCTAGTTGGTTCATGTCTTGTGAAATAAATAAACTGCGCAAAGGATGAGGGCAGAGGCAGAAACAAGTATGACACACAGGGTGCAGGCCTCCAACTGTTTATTTGGTGCAGACACAGCAGTATAAATAGCAATATTCAGCTCACTACGGTAAAACGGAGACTTAACGTGACCATCCAAAAAAGCTATTTCTTCACCTGATAATGAAGCTGATTGCATGCTTACGCAGTCGTGACCTCTTTTCAATGGAGTAGACTTCGACAAGTTTTCTTCTTGCTACTTGTACTGCTATGACTGCCCCACACAAACAGTTGGAAGTCTGCGCTTTGTTTGTCGTACTTGTTTCTGCCTCTGTTTCGTCCTTTGCACAGTTAATTTATTTATTTAGTTAATGAGTAGCTTTAAACTTGAGGGTTTTGTAGTACCCAACACCCACTGCATGAGCTCTTCAGGGGAAAAGAAAATAGCTGGTAACAGGATGCTGTTGTACAACTGTCAGTGCCAAGAGCTCGTACCGGGAGACGTACTTCCACGCATTTCGGAACAAAAGAGAAGAAAAA